TTCTTTCCTCTATTTCCTTTTACTTTCCTCTTGTCCCACTATCATGTTTGACCTTTATTCAGGTTTCTGTAATTCCTCTCAGCTATAATGCCTTTGATCAAGCCCCACCAAACATCATATGCCCTCATTGCCATCAATTTTAGATAACTTGTTGCCTTGTCCCTGGATTTGTCAACACCCCCTTCCTTTCCCTGCCTCCCCCTCTCCCATGTCCCCCAGAACCATCAGTCCCATTTATTTCTCCTGCAGATTGTTTATCTCATCTATCTTATCTAGATAAACAACAGTTCATTTTTAAGTATTCTCTTCCCTCTTGAAAAGTTGCAAGAAGAAATCACATGGCTATCTTTAAGATCTTATTTAGAAATCTCTTCAGCCAAATATTCAAGTTTACCTCTTATAAGTTATACTGTCTATACTGTCCATCAAACATTTAAGCATAAACAGGTACGTTTTTTGCCATCTTATAAAAAGCAACACCATCCTCCATTGTCCAACAACATGTTCATCGTGTCCTTTTAAAGCCTCAGAAGTACAATGAATGTCCACATTAATAGCAACATAATAGCAACATAATAGCTTTTCTCTGCAACACTCCTCACTTCCTTCTGAGACCTCACTAGAATTGCCTTTGACTTCCATAATTCTAGGAACTATCTCTTTAAGGTGATCTAGGCGTTCACTGTGACTTACTATTGTCAAGTCAATTATTATTCGTGGTTGCTGTAGGTAGGCACTGTCGGGTTGGTTTTGACTCATAGTGACCATCGGTACAACAAAGTGAAACGCTGCCTGGTTCTGCACCATCCGCAAAATTGTTCTTATGTTTGAGACCAGTGTTTCAGCTACTGTTTCAATCTAGCTCACTCAGGGCCTGTCTCTTTTTTTCTGCCCCTCAACATTACCAAGCATGATGTCCTTCTCCAGGGACTGGTCTCCTGATAACACGTCCAAAGTACATCAGACAAAGTATCGCCAACCATGCTTCTAAGGAACATTATGGTTGTACTTCTTGCAAGACAGGTACATTGGTTCTTTTGGCAGTCCCTGGTACTTTCAATATTTTCACCAGCATCAAAATTCAAGTGCACCAA